TATATGCGTGTTTCTTAGACTGTCCATATGAGACTATGTGCATGCACCGATACACAACACATATAAATATAAACCAGTACCAGTGTACAGCCGTTCGTCTATAACACGTGAAAAAACGCTGTAATAGCAATATTTTCATATTCCCTTGTTTAAATTATGAGGATATTGTGTGACATCATTGTACGTGCCTCTCTCCCACACTTACTAACTCAAACACACACATACGACGTGATATCAGCGTGTCGGGCTACTATATGTTACTTTTAGAATGGAGCTAAAAATACATATTGCACTCTTTATATTACACGTACAAAGGGGTGAATTGCTACGCCACAGAACCCCTCTCCGAAATACTAAAACATTTTAAAGTCTTTTTAATATAATCTCGCTACCAATAGTGTCAAATGCTCCAAAAGTACTAAAACAGTTTGCTTAACCCTGGTCATTAATATATTATTTCTTACTTCGAGTGAGGCACTCTCTGTACTGTGGAACTGTTGTATATGCTGACTGGAATTTTGAACCCAGTGTTCTTTTTACTTTAATAAAACAGTATTTAAAATAAATGTTGGCTAATAGTCACTGTATATTTATATTTTTGATGATATTATTCCAAATATAGCAGTGAATAGAGTGAAATGATGATCAGTTTAGTCATTATTGGTGATATCTTGTTCGTGGTTTTTGACTCCCATGTGCGAAGCACAAAATGGGAGTCTTTGCAGTTAGTGTGTCTGTGTGTGTGTGTGTGTGTGTGTGTGTGTGTGTGTGTGTGTGTGTGTGTATGTGCGTATGTGTGTCCGACTGTTCCACTGCTATCTCAAGAACCATACATCGGTTTTTGATGAAACTTGGTGCATATATGCTTTGGGCCAATGCGCAGATTTGATTAGGTTTTGGTAAAAATCCATGCTCGTTAATTACCTAATTTGCATGATAATTAGCTAATTTTTAGCTGTTCTATGACTGTTCCACTGATATCTAAAGAACCACTCATTGGATTT